GCAGACATCTGTTCAGCTTCACCCCAATTTTTTGGCCGTTGCAAGGTTGACGAGACTGTGGCTCGCCCCATCGTCAACAAATATTTTAATTTTATAGCCGTTAACCCTCCCCACCACCAGCACAGGGTAGTTCACGTGTTTACCCACGTTATTCGTCCGGTTGCGGTCGATAGCTCTGATCGGTACCACGACCCGGTGTGGATGGTGATTGTCGGGCGACAGGGTCTCGTCAGTAGGGCGCCCGTCTGCTACTGACTCGTATCTTTACCCGACCCTTCTCCGTTGTTCTTCTTCCCCTGCTTAAACCTCGGGCAGTCTTTTTTAAGGTGGCCCAGCTGGTTGCATGCAGAGCACGGCCCGATGGCTCGGCTTGGCGCATCCACGCCGTTGAGCGTGGGCTGCTGAGTCGATCCACGAAATTGAGGGCTCTTCCGGAAGCTCGATCTTGCCCACTGTATCAGTGCATCCGTTTAAGTTGCGTGGCCGCGTTCGTCGGACCTCGTACTGTATCTCGTATTTCAGACCCACCACGTAGCGATCCAACCGCTCCGCATCGCTCATGTCGTCCACTTGATCCGCCAAGTTGCAGAATGTGCTGGTGTATTCTTGGACCGAAGTCAGCTGCTTCCAGGCACACAGCTTCATGCGAGCAGAGTCTGAGGCGGATATGTGCTCGAATCTGGTTCGCAGGGCGGCGCCCCACTCCCTCCATGTGCGTATCGTAGCCGTCCCAAAAATTGAAGCTGCTCGTTGTGTGACAGGTGTCGAAGTCCCGTCGTTCACACGTGCTGTTCCTGTCGAAGTCCCTTCGTCTTGCAACGTTCGTTGCCACCACTCCAGCGTAGGTCCCCTTAGCAGTGAAACTGCAAAATTAATGCGGGTGGCATCATCATTGTCAAACATTATATATGTTGTGTTAGTTTAGGCTACAGTGGGTTAGCCTATAGGGGGTACACAATTCTAGGGTTAGGTACTTGTACTCTTTTCATTGCTAGTTCATTCATTCCTGTTCAGTGATTCCAACATGGTATAGAGCAGGTCCTTCCTAGGACCGAAATTTTCTAAGGGCCCACCACTACGTCACTACCTACCTACCTACCTACCCGTGCCCTAGGGCGCCTCGGCGTGTCACGCCCCTAGAGGCCCCTCTTGACGGCCCCGCGCTAGCCCCGTTTCAGGCCCCGTCGGCCCCCTTTTCAGGCCCCGTCGGCCCCGCGCTAGCCCCGTTCAGGCCCCGTCGGCTCGCGCTAGCCCCGTTTCAGGCCCCGTCGGCCCCGTTTCAGGCCCCGTCGGCCCCGCGCTAGCCCCTCTCAGGCCCCGTCGGCCCGCGCTAGCCCCGTTTCAGGCCCCGTCGGCCCGCGCTAGCCCCGTTTCAGGCCCCGTAGGCCCCGCGCTAGCCCCTCTCAGGCCCCGTCGGCCCCGCGCTAGCCCCATTCAGGCCCCGATCAGGCCCGCGCTAGCCCCGTTTCAGGCCCCTTCGGCCCCGTTTCAGGCCCCGTCGGCCCCGCGCTAGCCCCGTTCAGGCCCCGTCGGCCCCTTGCTAACCCCGTCAAGGCCCCGTTTGGCCCCGCGCTAGCCCCGCTCAGGCTCCGATCGGCCCCGCGCTCGCCCCTCTAGGGCCCCAACCGGCCCCGTGCCTACCTCGCCGACCCGTGCCCACCACCCAGAGGCCCCGGGCGGCCCGTTCCCGCCGCAGCACAAGAGGGAGAGCGGGCGGCCCGTCCCCGCCATGACCTGAGCCGAGCCGCGCGCCCCGAGCCGAGCCGCGCCACCCAGCCGAGCCGCGACCCGACCTGAACCGAGCCGCGCCGCCCTACCCTACCTGGTTCGTCCTACCTGCTTCTCCTACCGCTACTGCTGCTATTTCTACTGTTCCTATGGCTAGCCCACAGGTTCTCGTGTTCGATGCTGAGGGCCGCCCTGTGAAGTTTGACACCTGGCTCGATGACCTGCACCTCTACCTACAGCTCACAGCCAAGGATGACATCTCACTGTACGATCACGCCCTAGGCCTTGTCACTGCCCCTGCTGCTACTGCTGACAGCACTGCTCGCTCACAGTGGCAGACTCGTGATGCCCACGCTCGCTTCGCCATTCGCAACTCCCTGCCGATAGACGAACGCGAGCACTTTGGTCACCACAAGACTGCACCGGCACTGTACACAGCTGTAGTTGCTCGCTACTCCTCACCTGCCTCTGCCGCACTAGGCCGTCTCTCCCTCCCCTACCTGTTTCCCGACCTGGCCTCCTTTCACACAGTCGCTGACCTCATCACGCACCTCCGTACTAGTGAGGCCCGCTTCCGTGCCGCCATGCCTGCTGAGTTCCTTGCCACGCACCCCCCTCCACTCTGGCTCACTCTCTATCACCTAGTCACCCGCCTCCCTGACACACTGCGTGCTGTCAGGGACCACTTCCTAGCTCGTTGCCCCACTGAGCTCACCATTGCCCTCCTCGAGAAGGAGCTACTTGCAGCTGAGGCTAGCATAGTCGCTGTAGGTGCCTCTCGTGGCGACCCCCGTACCCCGTTCTTTGAGGGGTGTTCTCCTTCCCCCCTTCTTCCCTCTGTCGCCTCTGCTGCTGCTGTCGACCTTCTTGGTACTGAGAAGGTCGGTACTGCGTCTGCCTCGAGCGGACGCCGCAGCGGCAAGGGCAAAGGGGGCAAGGGTAGTGGCGGTGACGGCGGGGGAGGCGGCGGTGGGGGCGGTGGAGGCAGTGGGGGTGGTGGCTCGGCTGGAGGGGCGAGTGGTAGCGGTGGGGGTGGTGGCGGCAGCGGCGGGGGAGGTGGCAGGAGTGGAGGCGGCGGTTGGGGTGGCGGTGGACGAGGCGGCGGCAGGGGTTGGGGTGGTCGAGGAGGTGGCAGCGGTGGTGGTGGCCGTGGAGGCGCTGGCGGTGGCCAGGGCCAGCAGCACACCCTCTCGCCCCAGGAAGTCCGTGAGTGGTACTCTCAGCACGGGGGTGGGGGTGGTCTTAGCTGCACGTACGTCATTCGCACTGGTGACCGCACTGGTCAGCAGTGTGGACGACCGCACGCCACACAGCGCTGCTTCTCTCGTCTCGACGACGCTTGGCGTGTTCAGTTCCCTCAGGCCACTGAGCTGCCCCGCTGGCTTGATCTCCTGAAGAAGGGGATTGATATCTATGCTCTAGACTTTGATGCTATTCTATCTGCCATGTATGTGATGTCTACTAGTGGAGAGGGTGCTGAGTACTTGTGTGTGCCGCCCGACCCGGGCATTAGGGCCAGTGCGTCTGCCGCTCCAGGTACTCACGTGTCGGCTACCCCAGGTGCTGGTGAGGCTGCTGCTCTAGGTGCTCGTGTGTCTCCCCCCCTTGGTACTGCGTCGACTGCCGCACTGCACACCTTCACACTGGACTCAGGTGCTTCTCGCTGCTTCTTTCGTGACCGCACTGCCCTTGAGCCACTTACTCGGCCAGTTGCTGTCTCCCTTGCTGACCCCTCTGGGGGTCCGGTCATTGCGACCTCTTCCACTGTCCTTCCCTGCCCTGCGGTCCCGTCGGGCACACTGTGAGGTCTCCACCTCCCCTCGTTCTCTACGAACTTGGTGGCAGGCTGTGCACTCCAGGACGGGGGTGTTCACCAGTTCACCCCTGCCTACGAGCGCGTGACACACTGCACGTGTGCTCGTACGGGCCGTCACTTGGCTACCTTCACTCGGCAGCCGGGGTCGGACCTGTACACACTGACTACTGAGTCCCCTCAGGTTGCTGCGACTGCGTCCGCGTCCGCGTCAGGTCAGCTGTCCGCCCCCTGCTCGTGTCGCTCTTTGGCACACGAGACTGTCCTCTGGCACCACCGCCTTGGCCACCCGTCTGTGCAGCGGCTTCGTGCCATGCACTCCAGGTACCTTGTCTCTGGCCTGCCCAGGGTCCTTCCTCCCCTCCCACCCTCGCCTGCTCCTACCTGTCTCCCCTGTGTCGAGGGACGGCAGCGCGCCGCTCCTCACTCCTCCTCGTTCCCCCCGACGACTGCTCCCTTGCAGACACTCCACATGGACGTGTGGGGCCCAGCCCGCGTCCGTGGTCAGGGTCAGGAGAGGTACTTCCTGATAGTTGTTGACGACTACTCGCGCTACACCTCGGTCTTCCCCTTGCGCACCAAGGGTGAGGTCCCTGATGTCTTGATCCCTTGGATCCGCCGAGCCCGTCTCCAGCTCAGCGAGCGTTTTCACTCGGACTTTCCTGTCCTGCGCTTGCACTCTGACAGAGGTGGTGAGTTCTCCTCCGACCTCTTGGCAGCCTACTGTGCTGAGCACGGCATTGAGCAGTCGTTCACGCTTCCGGCTTCTCCACAGCAGAATGGGGTTGCGGAGCGCCGCATTGGCCTGGTCATGGAGGTCGCCCGTACCTCCTTGATCCATGCGGCTGCCCCCCACTTTCTGTGGCCGTTTGCGGTCCGGTACGCTGCGCATCAACTCAACCTCTGGCCCCGTGTCTCCTTGCCGGAGACCTCGCCCACGCTACTGTGGACGGGGGAGGTTGGCGATGCGTCGCGTTTCCGGGTCTGGGGGTCTCGAGCTTTTGTCCGCGATTCGTCTGCGGACAAGCTCTCCTCCCGTGCTGTTCCCTGCGTCTTCCTCGGCTTTGTCCCGGACGCGTCTGGTTGGCAGTTTTACCACGCCACCTCGCGCCGAGTCTTGCCCTCCCAGGACGTCACTTTTGACGAGTCCGTCCCCTACTACCGCCTCTTCCCCTACCGCACTGCCCCGCTCCCCCCCCCGCCTCTCTTCCTCTCGCCAGGTGCTGCTGTTGCAGACCCCCTCCTCCCTCAGGGTGCCGCTCCCTCAGGTGTGTCTCAGGTAGACCCGGTTGAGCCTGTTGAGGTAGCTGTCGACTCTCGTCCTGCTGGGGGTGCTGAGCCTGGGGGTGCTGAGCCTGGGGGTGTGGAGCCTGGGGGTGTGGAGCCTGGGGGTGTGGAGCCTGGGGGTGTGGAGCTTGAGGGTGCTGAGCTTGGGGGGGTGGAGCCTCGTGGTACTGAGCTGCGGAGTCCGGAGTCTGGGGGTTCTGCGTCTGGAGGTACGAGGTCTGGGAGTCCTGCACCTGGAGGAGCCCTCTCCTCGGAGCAGCTACGTGCGTGGTACTTAGAGTACTGCAGCCTCCGGAGAGGTACCGCTCGAGCCGGACGTACTACTGGGACTGGTGCTAGTACTTCTTCTCCCGTTCGGGAGCTCCCCTCCCGCGAGCGGATCCGTGAGTGGTACGAGCGGCGCTGCACTCTTCGGAGTGGCGTGCCTCGTGTTACGAACCCCGCTGCTGTTGGAGCTGCTGCTGGTGCTGAGGACCCGGGCGTTGGAGCTGCTGCTGGTGCTGAGGACCCGGGCGTTGGAGCTGCTGCTGGTGCTGAGGACCCGGGCGTTGGAGCCGCTGCTGGTGCTGAGGACCCGGGCGCTGGAGCTGCTGCTGGTGCTGAGGACCCAGGCGTTGGAGCTACTGCTGGTGCTGAGGACCCGGGCGTTGGAGCTACCGCTGGTGCTGAGGACGTGGACGCTGGAGCTGCTGCTGGTGCTGCCGACCCTGGTGCGGGTGTCCCTGCTGGCTCTGGTGTCGCTGCTCGGTCTCAGCCGTACTTTGTTCCGCTCCTTCAGCAGGTTCTTGGTCAGCTTCCTCCTCCTTTTCCTCCTCCCTCCTTAGAGTGTCCTCAGCCTGTCCAGCTGCAGTCGGCGTTACCGTCTGCCTCCTCTCTCCTTGGTCCTGCTCCTTACACTGGTCCGACTGGAGGTCTTACTGAGCGGCGTGAGCCTGCGTCTCGTCCTGCGTCGCCTGAGTCTCGTCCTGGGTCGCCTGTCCGCACTGCTCTCTCTAGTCATCGAGTCCAGCGTCAGCGTCTTCCTGCTGTCCCAGGCACTCACCGGATGGCGCTTCGTCCGTCCACTGCTCCACAGCGTGTCCCACTGCCGTCTCCTCCTGCTTCCTCTCTTCCTGCTCTTCCTGACCCTGGGTCAGACTCTCTTCGTGCTACCAGTCCTGCTGTCACGCGTCTCCTGGCCACTGTTGTCACTGACCCTTCCTTTGAGTCTGCTGCTGCGTCTGCCTTAGTTGCTGAGCTTGTCGACTTTGCTGCTCGCTGTCGTCTAGACTACGCTGCTAGCCTAGTTGCTGAGTCTGAGTCTGTCTGTCCTCCGTCCGTCGGGGGTGAGTGTGCTCTTGGCACTGACGTCCTTGAGGACAGGCAGGAGGAGTTCCAGTGCTTTGCTGCCACTTTGCCCCATCTCGTGTCCATGCTTGTTGCCCCTGAGGGAGACCCGGATGCACCAGACATCCCGACCCCACGCTCTTACGCAGAGGCGATGGCCGGTCCCTACTCCTCTCAGTGGCAGTCAGCCATGGACACAGAGATGGCTTCCTGGAAGTCCACAGGCACCTACGTCGACGAGGTTCCCCCGCCTGGGGCGAACATCGTCAGTGGCATGTGGATTTTCAGGGTGAAGCGGCCGCCGGGTTCTCCGCCTGTCTTCAAGGCGCGTTACGTTGCACGAGGCTTCAGTCAGCGCGAGGGAGTTGACTTCTTCCAGACCTTCTCCCCGACCCCGAAGATGACCACTCTTCGGGTTCTGCTGCACGTCGCCGCTCAGCGTGACTACGAGCTCCACTCGCTTGACTTCAGCACTGCTTTCCTGCAGGGCAGCCTGCACGAGGAGATCTGGCTGCGCCGTCCACCTGGCTTCACTGGGTCGTTCCCTCCTGGTACCCAGTGGAGCCTCCGACGGCCAGTCTACGGTCTCCGCCAGGCGCCTCGTGAGTGGCACGACACACTGAGGACTACGCTTGCGGCTCTTGGGTTCGCGCCTTCTACTGCTGACCCGTCGCTGTTTCTACGCACCGACACCTCACTGCCGCCGTTCTACGTCCTTGTGTACGTCGACGACTTGGTTTTTGCTACTGCTGACACTGTGGCACTCGCCCACGTGAAGTCGGAGCTGCAGAAGAGACACACGTGCACAGACCTGGGTGAACTGACAAGCTATCTTGGCTTGCGGATCACCCGGGACAGAGCACGCCGCACCATCACCTTGACTCAGTCACACATGGTGCAGCAGGTCCTTCAGCGCTTCCGCTTCACGTACTCCTCGCCTCAGCCCACTCCTCTGCCTACCGGTCACTCGCTCTCAGCTCTGCCTTCGGATGAGTCCGTAGAGCCGAGTGGCCCGTATCCAGAGCTTGTGGGTTGCCTCATGTACCTGATGACCTGCACTCGACCAGACCTTGCATACCCTCTCAGCATTCTTGCACGCTATGTCGCTCCCGGCCGTCACCGGAAGGAGCACATGGATGCAGCTAAGAGGGTGTTGCGCTACTTGTGCAGTACGTCGGGCATGGGGCTAGTGCTTGGAGGGCGAGTCCCAGTTGTTCTCACTGGACACTCAGACGCTTCTTGGGCAGACGACCAGGCTACTCAGCGGTCGTCTCAGGGTTACTCCTTCAGTCTTGGCTCTGGTTCTGTTTCTTGGCGTTCTACTCGCTCTTCTTCTGTTCTCAGCTCCAGTTGTGAGGCTGAGATCTACGCCACAGCCATGGCGGCCCAGGAGCTACGCTGGCTCACCTACTTGCTGACCGACCTTGGAGAGCAGCCTCGTTCTCCTCCAGTGCTGTACGTCGACAACAAGGCAGCCATTGCCTTGTGTGAGGAGCACAGACTGGAGCACAGAACGAAGCACATTGCTCTGCGTTACTTCCTCGCTCGAGAGCTGCAGCAGCGTGGTCAGCTTCGCCTGCGTTACGTGGCCTCTGAGGCCAACACTGCTGATGTGTTCACCAAGGCGCTTCAGCCTTGTGACCATCAGCGCTTTTGCACTCTTCTAGGCCTTGTGCCTACTGGACCTCACTTGCTTACTTCTTGAGTCTGTTGTACTGTGATCTCTATATATAAACCTGCATGTGAACTGGTCTTGTGACCACTTGCTTGTGCTCGGAATTTGTGTGGTATCCTTGAGATCCACCCTGAGCTTGTTTTGCCTTGCTTTACCTTGACTGGTCTTGTGACCCCTAGTTCTCCCCCACTTTGCCTATGGGGGTGTGTCAAACATTATATATGTTGTGTTAGTTTAGGCTACAGTGGGTTAGCCTATAGGGGGTACACAATTCTAGGGTTAGGTACTTGTACTCTTTTCATTGCTAGTTCATTCATTCCTGTTCAGTGATTCCAACAATCATTAATCATGGCAGCATTAAAAAACACCTCCACACCGAACAACCATGCAGAAACAGTGGCGAACTTGTCACTTGGGTTAAACGGGGGCGGGTTTGTCAGCTTGATTTTGACAGTTGTTGAAGCCGTTATTGCCACTTGGACTGTTGGCGCTGTGGCTGTCGTTGCTGGAGTTGTCGCTGCTGCACGTGTCGGCGCTGCTTGCGACTGTTGCAGTGACTGTTGCTGCTGTGCCTGCCTCGCATCGTCCGCATCCATGGAGCCTTCCAACTCGCTCCAGACCCGCTCATCTGGCGTGGAGCTGCTACTTGCGTCCTCAACGACAGGCGACTCCTGGCGCGCTTCACCACGCGCCTGGTGTAGTTCGGCGTTTTCCTTCCGCAGGCGCTCCATCTCTGCAGTCATGCCCTGCAAGTTGGCATGCATCGCCCGGAACTGTTGCATGAACTCGTTAAACTCTGCCGAATCCATGTGCCTCAGGCTTCGTCTAATAGGCAGGGGGTGACTAGCGATTTTTCCGACTTTGGTGAAGGCGTAAACGCTATCGTAGTCGTAGTGAAATAATCGTATCTATTTCACAGGCCGACCGCTTTACAGCCTACCAAGTCTATCGCGACCCTTATACAAACTACCCCAGAAACGCGAGGGTAACCTAGGAAAGTAGCTCTGATACCAAGTGTTATGAGTTGTGAAAGAGAAGCGTGCGCAGAATTCAATAACGCGGAAGTGATTACAACGTCTGAGCAAACATCGAGGCCTAGGACTACTATAGCAGTGCTAGCTAGGCCGAGGTCGCGGAGTCGCGAAATGGTTGGGTGCAGGTTCGGGGTTGGAAAACCCGAAGGCGACGCGATGGTGGTTCGGAAGGCGGGGTCGTCGGGCCGAGCCTGGGTTTCCGAAAACCGGGGTTGTACGCGTACAGTGTGACCCAGTAAGGAATCCGAGAAAATTCCTTACACGAACTAAGGGCGAGTAACATTGCAGTGACCAAACCCAAATTCCGACCTTTTGGTTGTGTTGGTCAATATTCGAGGGAAGTGGTAACAAACACCTTGGGCGTTATTTTTATATTCCAATAACCACGATTCTTGCGTGGTTGATTTAGGGGCACCCTCTTAGAAATAGAATGCAATGGAATGATGAGATTAGGAATGCGGGAGATACAAATAGCAAACCCTAACTGAGTTGTACTCGCTAGGGAGCACCTCACTAAAGCCTATCACAAATATCAACATTTGACACAACCCCATAGGCTAAGTGAGGGGCATCAAAGCAAGCAGGGTGAACAAACAGTCACAAGACCAGTCAATGCAAGAAGCAAAACAAGCTCAGTGTGGATCTCAAGGACACCACACAAATTCCGAGCACAAGCAAACGGCCACAAGGCCAGTTCAATAGTTCACTATGATATATAGTAGGAAGGTACAACAAGCAGAGTAAGCAACAAGGCTACAGCAACCGAGGACCTGCCTCAACAAGCCCTAACTGCACACAAAACCAGTGGTGATCACCAGGCGCCAAGGCCTTGGTGAAGAGGTCAGCAGTGTTGGCCTCTGAGGCCACAAAGTCTAGGCGCACCTGGCCGCGTCGCTGGAGCTCACGCAGGAGGAAGTAATGTCGATGTGCTTCACCCTGGTCTCCAGTCGAGGCTCGCGACACAAGAGAATCATGGCCTTGTTGTCAGCGAACAAGGTCAGAGCAGTGCGAGGTTGCTCACCAAGGTCAGTGAGCAAGAAGGTCAACTAGCGAAGCTCCTGAGCAGCCATAGCACCGGCATAGATCTCTGCCTCTGCACTGGATGAAGCCACCGACGACGATCGTGTGGACCTCCACGACACAACCCCATCTCCCAGACTGAAACAGTAACCCTGGGTCGAACGCTGAGTCTCCACGTCGTCAGCGTAAGAAGATTCACAGAGGCAAGTCAGCTCAACTGGCCGAGTCCCTCCAAGCACAAGCTTCGTCCCTGATGTAGTCGCCAGGTACTTCGCCACCCTCACGGCAGCCGTCCAGTGAACAGGACGGTGCCTCCCAGGTCCAACAAAGCGAGAGAGGACACTAAGAGGGTAGGCGAGGTCCGGGCGAGTACAAGTCATCAGGTACATGAGGCAACCAATAAGCTCTGGGTAGGGACCACTGGGCTCAAAGGGCTTGTCAGGGAAGAGGCCGGTGAGTCTGTGGTTTACATCAAGAGGAGTGGGCTATGTGGTGGAGTGCTGAAGCCCGAACCGCTGAAGGACCTGCTGCACCATGTGTGACTGCGTCAACGTGATGCTGCGAGCGGCTCTGTCCCTGGTGATCTGCTGGCCAAGGTAGCGCTGCAGTTCACCAAGGTCAGTGCACGTGTGTCTCTTCTGAATTCGGACTTCACCTCAGCCAGAGCTGCCCTGTCTGGTGTAGCAAAGACCAAGTCATCAACGTAGATGAGTATAAAGAAAGGAGTGGAGCCAGCACGAACAAACAGTGACGGGTCAGCAGAGGAAGGGCGAAGAGTGGAGCGAAGAGTGTCGTGCCACTCACGGGGCGACTGGCGGAGACCGTAGACTGGTCGCTTCAGGCTCCAGTGGGTCCCAGGAGGGAAAGCACCAGTGAAACCGGGAGGACAGTGCAGCCAGATCTCATCGTGCAGTCGTCCCTAGGGAAAGGCAGTGGAGAAGTCGAGGGAATGGAGCTCGTAGTCACGCTGTGCTGCTACGTGTAGTAACACCCGAAGAGTAGTCATCTTCGGGGTCGGAGCGAAGGTCTGAAAGAAGTCAACTCCCTCACGCTGACTGAAGCCTCTCGCCACATAGCACGCCTTGAACACCGGGGTTGATCCAGGCGGCCGCTTCACCTTGAAGAGCCACATGCCCATCGACTACGTTCGCCTGGGGAGGGGGAACTGCGTCGACATACGTGCCTGTGGATCTCCAAGACGCCAACTCTTTGTCCATGGCCGCCTTCTACTGAGAGGCCCACCCCCCTGACACTGCCTCACGGTACGTGCGAGGAGTCGGTATGTCAAGGGTGTCGGGGTCTCCCTCAGAGGAAAGCAGCATGACACAGAGAGTGGGAGAAGTGGCTGTCGGGTACTCCAGCTCAGAGTGTCTGTCCTCTAGGACGTCACAGCCAAGGGCAAACTATCCCCCGACGGACAGAGGATGGGTAGGCGGAGCGGGCACCACACGAGTGCTGTAGTCAAGGCGGCTGGCGGCGGCAAAGTCAGCGACAGCGGCAGTGAAAGCCGAGACAGACGACGGAGAGAAACGAGAGCCGGTGACAACAGTGGCTAGAACGTGGGAGACAACAAGGCGAACATCACGGTAATAGTCGGAGATAGGAGTAGGGGAGATAGGAAGAGAAGACGGAGGAGGAGACGGGAGAACTGACACCGGAGGAGGAGAACGACAAAGAGAGGTACAAAGGAGGGCAGTGTGGAGGTCGGTAACGGGGGACGAGGGACGAGCACTCGGAGGACAAGGACGGGAACGGTAGTGACAGACAACAGGGGGAGGAGACTGCGGTGGAGGAGAGGACCAGACAGCCGGACGGGTGTCAGGAGGAGAAAACGTAGGACCAAACGCAGGAGGAGACGGAGAGCGGACAGGAGGAGAGGAGGGAAGACTAAGGGCCCGAAGGCCATTCACAACTGCCACTCCAGAGGGAGCTGCTGCGGCTGCGGTGGCGGCGGCGGCTGCTGCTGTTGTTGTGGTTGCGGCGGCTGCTGCTGCGGCTGCCGCTGCTGCTGCTGCTGCTGCTGCTGCCGGTGCTGCTAATGCTCCAGCAGGTCCAACTGCCGCAACTCCTGCCGCTCCCGCTCCAACCGCTCCTGCTCCTCGCGTGCACGCCGGCAGGCCGCCTAGTAACGCGTGTCGTGGCGGTGGGGAGGCGGAGTGCTCTCCGCAGACTTAGTGCCCCCAGCTCCAGTCGCCTGAGAACTAGCACCACCAGTACCAGTGTCCCTAGAAGGGGTACCAACAGGGTCAGGGTCCCCATCTCCAGCGCCCCCTGTCCTAGCACCCCCAGTGCCAGGACCTCCAACTTCAGCACCCCCAGAACTAGCACCTCCCGTGCCAGCACCTCCAGTTCCAGCAACTTCAGAACTAGCACCTCCAGTGCCAGCACCTCCAGCTCCAGCACCCCCAGAACTAGCACCTCCAGTGACAGGACCTCCAGCTCTAGCACCCCCAGGGCTAGCACCACCTGCGCCAGCACCTCCAACTCCAGCACCCCTCGAACGAGCACCCCCAGACCGAGTACCGCCAGTGGCTGCACCTCCAGCTCCAACACCAACCGAGTCCACATGAACATGTCGCGGAAGTACCGAAGGCTGCTGAGGGGACTGTGAGGAGGACTGCGGGGAGGGAGACGCTACCTGACGCGCGACCGAGGGTAGAGGGGTAGCGTGAGACACACCTGACGGGGTAGGACCAGGGGGGGGTGGGGGTACCGGAGGAGCGGGAGCAGGGGGAATAGAGGGTGCAAGGAAAAGGGGGGGAGGGGGAACCGGGAGACCTCGACAGTGGTACCGGGTGTAGTAGGACACTGATTCGTCGACCGGACGTCACGAGAGTCTAAGAACTGGTGTAGGGGCGGGTGGAAAAAGGACCAGTCGGCCGAGGAGGGAAACCAAGGAAGACACACGGGACGGCGCGAGCCGAGAGCTTGTCCTCAGAGGTGTCGCGGACAAGCGCAAGGCAGCCCCAGACACGAAAAGCTGACCCAACACCAGGGGACCCGGTCCAAAGACTGGTCGGTGAAGCCTCTGGCCGCGAGACGCGCGACTGGAGGTTCAGCTGGTGAGCGGCGTAGCGAACCGTGTAGGGCCACAGAAAATGGGGCGCACGGGCATGAATCATGGACGTGCGGGCGATGTCATTGACCAAGCCAATGCGGCGCTCATCAACCCCATTCTGCTATGGGGACTCCGGCAGCGTCCAGGACTGTACGATCCCCTGCTCGCCGAAAAATCCGGCAAGAATGCCTGAGCGAAACTCACCCCCACGGTCAGAGTGGAGACAGGAGACACGACGGCCACGAGTGCCCTCAGTGGCTAGAAGCCTCCGGATCAGCGTAGAAGTCACACCAGACTTCTTCGCGAGAGGAAACATTGTGGTGTACCTGGAGAAGTCGTCGATGACCACCAGAAAGTAGCGTTCCCTCTCAGGGCCCTGAGTAGGTGCAGGGCCCCAGACATCCAAGTGGAGTGTCTGGAAGGGAGCAGTGGTTGGACGAAGGGAGTGCGGACTGGCACGAAGATGGCCGGCAACGCAAGGAGGGCACGGTGGTGCAGGCGAGGGAGGGAGCGACGAGAAGACGCGAGGGAGACCTGAAACAAGACGGTGACTAGCCATAGTGCGGAGGCGGGGGATCGACGTGTGGCCAAGACGGTGGTGCCACAAGACGGTCCGGTGGGTGAAAGACCGACACGAGCAAGACGCAACAACTAGACCGGACACAGCAACCTGACCGGACACAGCAACCTGACCGGACACAGCAACCTGACCAGGCACAGCAACCGGTGGGGACACAGTAACCTGACCGAACTCTGCTACCGGTGGGACGAAGCAACTTGACCAGACGCAGCTACCTGCGGGGGCAGAGTGTGCTGGACGAAGAGACCCGAGTGGGGCTCTCTGATGAACGTGGCAAGAACTGCCCTGGTGGAAGAGTCCGTACGGATCGCAGTCCTCCCGTGCGCAGGAAAAGTGATTGTGATCCCCCGGTCCTGAAGGTATCCAACACCCACCAAGTTCCGAGAGAACGAGGGGATGTAGAGACCCGTGAGGAAACCAGAGGGGACAGCTAGGCACGGGAGAGTGGTCGAGCTACGAGCAACTGCTGGTGCTGAAGTAGGATCAGCCAGGGCAACTTGGACTGGAGCCGAAAGAGGTGTGAAAGTGGTGTGGTCGCGGAAGAAGCACTGAGACGCGCCGGAGTCCAGCGTGAAGGAGAGCGACGCAACAGCAGTCGTTACGGCTGGGCTAGTGACTACACAAGCACCTACTCTAAAAGCAGAAGTACCGACACTAGCAACAGGCAAAGGTCCTAAGCTAGGTACGCGTAAGCCAAGAGATCTGTATGTGACAGAATAAACAACATCCATATATCAAACACATCGTAACCACTACGAAACAGGCCGGGCCAGATTGGGGGAGCCGACCCCGGCCCAAAACGCTCACGGTAGAGGTCGTCGAGGCGACTGTAGCAGCGTTGTGTAGAGTGGTTAGGATGCCAGCACGTAGTGCCAGCACCAGGGCTGGTCAGGATCCGGTACTGGCAGGGGCCAACGTTGTGAGGATCTGGTTCAAGAAAGATAAATCTATTGAATGAATCACCTGGGTACAAGACGAGGCTATATATAGGCTTGACACAAAGGCCGTAACCCGGGTGTTACTAGAAGGTTTTGCGGGTCGCGAAGCGTCCCGAACGGGTCCTTCCCGAATTCGGTAGAAGGCAATTTGGTGGTAACAAAAAAGCCTAGAATTCGGTGCACTCAACCTAGTTCGGTGCCTATATCTATAATAGCTATAGTAAAAGCAACGAACCTTGGAAATCAAGCATAAGCATACAAGATAATGCGCAATGAAGCAGCAAATAAAGTCCAGCAAAGACGTCGTACTCTCACACGTCCCCCCCTCAAAGCTGGGTGGCGTGAGAAACACCCTGCTTGACAAGATAATCCTTGAGAGCACGGCGTGCATTGCCCATATCAGCTTCTGCAACCCAACTGTCCTCCGACGGGTCATATCTCTTCTAGCGTATCAGGAACTTGTCGTGTTGCCGCGTCTGCATCGATGAGCGAGCACTTGGTCCACCTCGTACTCTAGTGCATCCTGTACGAGAACAGGTGGTGGTGGCGATAGCTGGCATCCCTGGAACTATTGGTTGGGGTCCTTGTAGGGCTTCAGTAGCTGAACATGGAAAGCGTTGTGAAGCTTCCACGTAGTAGGTAAGCGCAAGCGGAATGTTACTGGTGTCACCTGTGCCTCAACGCGAAAGGGACGACAGAAGCGAGGCCGGAGCTTGGACGGAAGGTGAGATAAGTCCAAGTTGTGTGTGTCGAGAAGCACCTGATGTCCGACTGCTACTGAGTGATCACGTCGCTGGCGATCGGCATACTGCTTCTGGGAGTTCTGCATCGTGGTGAGACGTCGCCGAGTCTTCTCCCATAGCTACTACATGGTGGTGACAGAGTCGTGTGCGGCTTGGACGTGTGCCGGGGTGTTTGGCTGCTGTGGTGTAAGTGGTTCCCGCCCCTAGCACAGGAAGAAATGAGATTTCCCTGTGGCCGCATGCGAAGCGTTGTTGTAAGCGAACTCAAGCGTCGGTAACTGTAGATCCCAGCGGCTGATGTCGTCTTTGCAAGCTGTGCGCAGTAACTGTTCAACCACCTGATCGAGTCGCTCAGTCTGTCCATCAGTCTGGGGGTGGTACGCTGAAGACATCGCAAGCTTTGGATTCCCTCCATAACTTACTGGTGAATTTGTTGTCTCAGTCTGAGATGAGTGTAGCAGGGATGTCGTGGATGGTGATAATGCGGTCGAAGAAGATGCGAGCAATTGCTTCAGCTGTAGCCGTGGCGTTGGTTGGGATGAAGTGTCCCATTTTAGAGAACTTGTCGATCACCACGAGTATAGTGTCATGCCCTTGTGAGGTCTAAGGTAGCCCAGTGATGAAGTCTAGGTTGACGACTTGCCATGGCTGCTCCAGTACAGGTAGATGCTGAAGTAACCCCTGCTTTTTTCTGCTTGCTACTCTTCCTCCGCTGGCACGTGTCGCATAAGGTGACGAACTGCTGCACGTCCGCTGCCATCCGGGGCCAGTAGTAATACTTCGCTATTCCCGCTAATGTCTTGTTGCTCCCAAAATGTCCCACGTATGCCACATTGTGGAACACCTCCAGTAAGATCTGTTGGAGCGGGGCATAGTTCGGTACCCAAATCTTTCCTGGTCCCTTTCTTACAGCTAGGTCTTTCTCCCACTGTAACAACTTTTGTTTTTCTGCTGTAGCAATCTCTGCGTCCACGGAGTACCCATGTTGGAATAGACCCTTGAGTAGAGGGTTCATCCCGACGAGCTGAATGCCTGCTACATGACCGGGGCAGCTCAACGCATCTGCTTTGTTGTGTAGCCCGGGCTTGTAGACGATGTCGTAGTGGAAGTGGGTCTCCAAGAAGTCCACCCACCGCGCATGTCGTCGTGAGAGCGTTGACTGCGACTTCAGGTATTTGAGGTTGCAGTGGTCAGTGCACACTATAGTCTTGGCTCCTTCTAGGTAGCATCTCCACGCCTTGAAGGCTGTGACTATCGCTAAGGCTTCCTTGTCATTGATTGGGTAGTTCAGTTCTGCTCCGTGTAGCTTCTTACTGAGGTAGGTGATGGGCTGCAAACTGCTTCCGTGATGCTGCATCTGTACTGCTCCGACTGCCTGGTCACTAGCGTCCACCACGTAGTCCTTGTCTGGGTCCGGTAGGATGAGTACTGGTGCTGTAGTCAGTGCTGTCTGTAGCTGCTCCATGGCTTGCTGATGAGGAGTATCCCATTTGTAGGGCGTATCCTTTTTCAGCAGGTTGGTCAGTGGTGCTGCTATCTTATTATACTGCGGCACGAACCCGATGTAGTAGTTGGCGAAGCCTAGGAACTACTTCAACTCTTTCACATTCTCAGGAACTTTCTATTTTAGGACAGGTTTCGCTCCTGGTTCCTCCACGATCTCGTGCTCGTGGGTGCATGCTGGAGGTACTCCTGCATGTAGATTTCCTGGCATGATGTCCTTGTACTGCTCCAACACCTCCTTCACTGCTGCAGGTAGCTCTGCATTCGGCTTCTCCTCCTCCGCTGCTGCCATAACCAGTGCTAGGTAGCCTGTGTTACTCTCGTTCCCCATCCGTTCGCACCGTGCAAGTGTC